GACCAATAAGCCTAACCTCCATAGTGGGAAAATTTATGGAATCAATAATTGCCGAGGCAGTTCGTAGCCACCTTGAAAAGCATAAATTAATCAACGAATCTCAGCATGGTTTTACAAAGGGGCGTTCCTGCCTTGCGAATTTATTAACTTTTTTCACTAAGGTATTTGAGGAGGTAGATCATGGTAATGAATATGATATTGTGTATATGGACTTCAGTAAGGCTTTTGACAGGGTCCCACATCAGAGACTATTGAGGAAAATTAAGGCACATGGAATAGGAGGGGAAATTTTTTCCTGGATAGAGGCATGGTTGACAAATAGGCAGCAGAGAGTTTGCATAAATGGGGAGAAATCAGAGTGGGGAAGCGTCACGAGCGGTGTTCCACAGGGGTCAGTGTTGGGCCCCCTGCTGTTCACAATCTACATAAACGACATAGATGAGGGCATAAAGAGCGACATCGGCAAGTTTGCCGATGACACCAAATAGGCCGTCGAATTCATTCTGACGAGGACATTCGAGCACTCCAGGAAGATTTGAATAGACTGATGCAGTGGTCGGAGAAGTGGCAGATGCAGTGTAATATAGACAAATGCAAAGTTCTAAATGTTGGACAGGACAATAACCATGCCACATATAAACTAAATAATGTAGATCTTAATATTACGGATTGCGAAAAAGATTTAGGAGTTCTGGTTAGCAGTAATCTGAAACCAAGACAACAGTGCATAAGTGTTCGCAATAAAGCTAATAGAATCCTTGGCTTCATATCAAGAAGCGTAAATAATAGGAGTCCTCAGGTTGTTCTTCAACTCTATACATCCTTGGTTAGGCCTCATTTAGATTATGCTGCACAGTTTTGGTCACCGTATTACAGAATGGATATAATTTCTCTGGAAAATGTACAAAGGAGGATGACAAAGTTGATCCCATGTATCAGAAACCTTCCTATGAGGATAGACTAAGGGCCCTGAATCTGCACTCTCTAGAAAGACGTAGAATTAGGGGGGATATGATTGAGGTGTATAAATGGAAGACAGGAATAAATAAAGGGGATGTAAATAGTGTGCTGAAAATATCTAGCCTAGACAGGACTCGCAGCAATGGTTTTAAGTTGGAAAAATTCAGATTCAGGAAGGATATAGGAAAGTACTGGTTTGGTAATAGAGTTGTGGATGAGTGGAACAAACTCCCGAGTACAGTTATAGAGGCCAGAACGTTGTGCAGCTTTAAAAATAGGTTGGATAAATACATGAGTGGATGTGGGTGGGTGTGAGTTGGACCTGATTAGCTTGTGCTACCAGGTCGGTTGCCGTGTTCCTCCCTTAAGTCAATGTGACCTGACCTGACTAGGTTGGGTGGATTGGCTTAAGCCGGTAGGAGACTTGGACCTGCCTCGCATGGGCCAGTAGGCCTTCTGCAGTGTTCCTTCGTTCTTATGTTCTATGTTCTTGCATGCCAGCCTTGGTTTTGGAACAGTTAAGACCATGTAGACCATATTGGTCGGCTTGCACATCGCCGCGAATACACGTATATTCCATGTGAATTGGGGCAACAAGGCGCAGAGCCACTGCAATATGGAGGGTCTTAGGGTCGAGGCGTGTTCCCATTGCCGAAATGGGAACTGTTTGGAGGAAGTTCCCGGACTGATGTGCACTCACAGCTTGGAGGCGAGGAGTCTCCCTGTCTGATGTTACAGCCCTATGCATGTTGGCAAGCACCTTTTCAGCGATGGGCCCATCCCAACTTGACTGTTTGTAGGCCAGTGCTGCACTAGGTTTTGGTGCTGGGGCAGCAAGAGTCTCCCATTCAGTGATGGCACTGGCGTAGCTAGGGTCCTGTATTCCTGCTGAGTCACTGAGGTTGTCTGGAAGAACTTGTTTTATTAACTTATTTGATTCTATGGAAGAGGATAGGAAAGCTGGTAGGACAGTCTGGGAGGATTTGTGTACTCCCAGCCCACCCAAGCCTTTCAGGAAGTGAGGCTTGCAACCACTGTCCATCTTCGAGGGAAAGATTCAATATACTCTCTAGCATGGTATTAAGAAGAGTCATATTCCTTGAGTTTCGGACTACTAAAGGCTGGGGAGCATCTCAGGAAGTAAATTTAGGGATTGGCAGGCACCAGGTGAGTAGGTAGAAGGCATCATGTGTATCGATGTCTTTCGTCCTGCCTTCCATCGTCCTGAGGTCTGAGATTTTTTTTCTGGGATCAGATCGATGGCACTGGGCCGAAGAAGAGCACCAAGGAGAGTGCTGTTGGCTGCATCAATGGCTCGTGCTCCTGGTAAAACAGTGCTAATATTCCGGATCATCTGTCGATTGGTAGAAACTATTTCGCATTTGGTGGGGTTTAAATATAGGACCAGGCTCTTTCCCATGTGTAGTAGATGAATGGTTCAGAGAACCGACAAGTTGATAAATTAGACACATGTGCAACTCTTGGGTATCTTTATTGAGGAAACGTTTCGCTACACAGTGGCTTCATCAGTCCATACAAAAGAGAATGGTGAAGAACAGGAGG